TACGCGATCTCAACTGGACTGTAGAAATCTTAGCTAAGCAAAAGATCGCCAACTGACAGCTTATACGAACCTTGTGCTTCCAAGGAGTAATGTCTCGATGAGGTTACCGTTGTCGTTCGGAAAACGCACAATATTCGCGGAAGATCAGTCCTTTTTTCTTGTATGTATTCCCTACTTTTCATCGAGTTTACTGATTTCCCCTGGGGCCTAATGCGGGTGGCTGCGTATAGGTGACGCTCGCCGTTACCACCGACGGATCCTTTGACGAATCTTTAGTATGGTTGAACATATGCAGGAATTCGAATTCTGCCGTTTCCGCATTTCCATTAGAGGTCTTAATTGTCACCTAATTGTCGTCATTGATGGTGTTTTCTAGGGTTGTGCTTTGACATTAACAAGGTCTAATCACGCCGGGCAAAACAAAAACAACAGATAAAAAGAAGAACAGTTTAATAGGCGTCTATGTGTTCGTTGGTATGACGCAGAGAATTTCATAAACAGCAGTTGGTTGCTGTAGTAGGGTTCCTGGGTTCGCCTTTTCAGGTGGGTACAAGCAGGCCTTGTGCGGACAAACGATGGTAGCAGGTCTATGTTGTCCGCAGATTCTGGCCGTTTTTTCGTTGTCTCTGTACCTGCACAGACTAAGACTAAGAATAAAGGCTCTCTCTCTCTCTCTCCCTATAGTCAAATGGTGACAAGTGACATTTGACTACAGGTTGGTACGACTACGGAGGGATTATTTTGTAGTTGCTACTTTCTTCCCCGATAATAAAATAAAATACAGTTGCCGATAATAGAGTCTAATTCTATGAGCACAGCAACTCACTACGTGGCATGATAATAGAACGCAGATGGCATAGACTTGTGACACTGTTAAGGTCAACGCAATTGGTATTGGAAGTACCTACTGACCCAACAGCACGTCTTACGTGCAGATGGTCGCTATGCAGCTTTACGTTAGCGTCTGCTTGAGTTCAATACTTTGCGCCCTCGCAGAGAATCGGCCGATACTGTAATCAGCGCTGCCCATTTAGGACCACTACCTGTATTTGCCTACCAAGGATTCCTTATTGTTGTGACAAACGCTGCTGCTTCGACTATGGCCTATGCTATATGATAACAGTGCTTAAAGAAAGGCAATTTATTTAACAATGCCAATGAACGCTTTTCGATTCGGAAGGACTCGCTAGAACGACCTTTCTTTCCTCGAGATGTTCGGTACTTTGTCACTTCGAGTGACGCAGTGGCGGCGTAGACTTCGTGGCGGTGATCATTAGACATTAGAAACGTATGTAACGACTTTCTGCTCCTGGCGCTCTACGCTGGCTACAGACTGGTGCACGGTGGTGACCGCATGCATACTCGTGTTACATTGACTCGGGCAGGTAAGTGTTGTACGGCTAGAACCGCGAACCCGACCGATAGGCGACAACGAAGAAAGCTCGCAGTCAGCAAGAGATTGCGACAGAGCGATTCAGACTGTGAGAGATGGCAGGTTGCAAATAATGAGGCATCGGACAAGAAATAAAGTTACAGCAACTATAACGGTCGTAGTGCAAGCCGATGCGCATGCCAGAGCATCGCTATCCTAGTTCCTGCTTTGACAGAAGAAGATTTGTCGTTTACCGTCAGGTCCAGACTCTTTTCTTTGTCCCTGTGTCTGAGACTTCGGTTTGAAAAAGCTCTTTGAGTTTTAGCAGATGAAAGTATCTTCTGTCTGAGACGACGTTCTCTGATCATCAAGCGTGGCAACTTACTTACCATGGGTAGACTCGTCGGTTTCTCACCTACCAGCCCACTGACGATTGCCCAGGGCCTTCTTCGAGCTATTGCATTGAATTGAACCAAATGTGTTTTACCCGCGATACAGTAGTAATATACATATAGAGCATATTGTTTGCTGAGCAGCTGTCGATGGTTTGGCTCGCGTCTAACCATGTTATATTAGATCGCTTCTCTGAAAGGACGCAGGTTTGCTGAGACCCTTTCTGTCGCCTTCGGCGCCATTGAAATCTGATGGCGAAGCAGATAGTTTTCCAAGTACACGATTTTTTCACTAACAAGTAATGTTTTTATTTCGTTTGTCACTTCAGTATAGCTATGCGAGTACTGGCCAGTTTTTGCTGCCTCATTTTACTCTTAATTACCGCATCGTCTTTTCAAGCCTAGCGGTTTTGATTCCCGTCCGTCTGTAAATTTTCTGTGGGTTCACTTTCTAGTGAAAGAGCTGCCACATTTATGGCGGCCGTTGTTGACAAATGCTCATGCTTCGGTACTTCTATACATTAATTTAGCGAAGGCGTGGGTAATTGCAAGTAGCGCATTTGCCGATTCGTTTCGTGTTCTGATCCAATGCTGTGGTATCTCTGTTGTTATTGTTGTTCATGGTAGCACTGATTGCAGTTATAACAGCAACGGCGACAGAGAACCGCGAAACGCACGTCGAACCACTAGCCGAATACTTGTATCAGTGGTTTATATGCTCTTCTACGAGGTTCCCCTGCCCCGCGCAATTCCTCATTCGCCATCAGCATTACTTTTCTAAATCCCTCGTGTATTCACTCTACCTCCTGCCCCCTCGAGGGTCCTTCCACTTGATCTCATCGGCCTCACCCTTCGATCAAGTAGCAAGCGATCGACTGACCGATTGTTGTCCAGAACGAATTGCCGCGGATGACCAGGAGACGGTGAACGCAGTCGGGCGAGCGGCCGTTTGCCTGGCTCTGGTATTTCGGTTTTCGCTCTCCGATGATGGTTCGGTCGCACCCAACGAAGTCGCGGCGGCGACAGTGGCTCGGGCGCGCCAACAGCCTCCGCATCGTCAGCAGAACGCCATCTTGATTGGTTTCTGCTTGTACGCCGACAGTTGACGCTACTGCCGCTGCTGCCTTGGCCACACTGGTACGTCGCCGCCGCCGCCGCCACCACCGCCATCACCAGCATGAGCATCAAAAATAGCCGTCTTAGTCGTGCTTGTCTAATAGCGGTAGATAAATGGTTCTGCTTTTAGTTGTCGCTATCTCTGTTGTTACTGTTGCTGCTGCCGCCTAGAATGCTGGCGATGCCGTGATGAGCGGCGAAATGGAGACTTCGATGGTGGTAATGGCTTGAGTTAACGCGCGCTTCTCGATGCTCGACCACTCTCAACAGCGAAGCGCTACGAGAGCACAAGCAGAAGTCGATGCTGCGAAAATGATGATAGCGGTAGTGCCGATGTCGACGTTGTTGCCGAAGACGACGAACGCATTGACTTTATGGAGCAACAGCAGCAAGGTAGCAATAGAATTAATAGTATAGTATTAATAATAGCTATAGTAGACGCTCGAACACAGCCCACAGCCATCGTAAACCATGTTACTGTTTCGGCTACTGCTGCTCCCCCTGCCATTCGGATCGACGGCATGCATCAAGGAGCCGCCGCCGCCTTGGCCGCGACAAGCGCTGCTCCGGCAGCAACGGCGACGGACACGTTCGCAGCACTAACAGCAATAATTGCAAACGGTTGGGTCTGTCTTTCTTTCCCTATCTAGCTGAGCTGTTGGTCTGTGTATGAGCGAGAAAGCAGCCATTGAGCTATAAGTGAATTGGACCAAATAGTTCCATCAGCGATTTGCCGATGTCCGTTGACAGACCATCATCGGCTGGCGTCAGCGGCTGAATTATGGCATTGTGACAGTGTGGGCCGTACCAGCAACAGCTATGCTAGGGGGAACTGGCACGATGTTAAGTTGCTGCTGCCGTTATTATTGGGGGCTTGGCATCATCATCAACACATGGCTCTGGCTTGTTGTCCGGTGGCCGTTTACTGTTTCTGATGCCTCCGGTGGTCGACAGCAAATTGGACGGTAAACAGCAATTTGTTGTCGTAGTGTCTGCCGCAGTGGCCGTGGAGAAAGCCTACTCCACGGCCCCTATCATCTTGCTAACGTTCTTGCCGATATCGAACAACATGCAGATCTGAGAATAGAGAGACCGAGCAACAGCAATCAGAAAGCAGATGGTAGCTATGACTTCTTATTAGCTAGCTACTGCTTGGCCGATAGGCCCCCTACCGCCAAGATTCCGAGAGGAGCAGAAGTTCTGCTGGTGATGAGTTCTCATTTAGAGATGGTGGCGGTGGCAGTGGCAGCGGCAGATTCTGCAATAGCCGCTCATGCGCAAGTCAAGCGCATTATTGACGTTGAGTGGGTGGAAACGATCTGCACGGGCTATTCTCTATAGCGGCAGCGACGATGACGTCAGCGTACAGCGCGGAAAGAGAGGAAATTCTGAACGCGACGTCTGCGGGCCATGCACACCTTTACGAGAAACGATCAATGTTGTTACCGTCGCCGTAAAAGACAAGAGGGAAGGAAACTGCTATTGGCTTTCAATTTCATAGACACTTTTTGTTTAGCTTCTGGGGGTTGCCGTCTACAATCTCCCTCTTGTACACGGGCCCACATCTGGTGTAGCCGTTGGGATGTTTGTGCTTCAATGGTAACATACCTCCTATGGTTTTCATAATTCACAAAAGTGGCCATTTTGCCTCGAACGATTGCGGCTATTGCGTCAGTGGCAGTACTGACAACAACAGTAGACGCCGTACGCTACGCTATTTAACCACAAACACGAAATCGCTTTGCTTCTGTTTGTTACGGCAGGACAATGGTGAATTTGAATCCATTCATTTCGGATAGTATTTATCGGATCTAAATAAGAGTAGTAATAACTCACAAGCCCAGCAGCAGTTCAGTCACCATTTTGGTACTGTTTTGCCTCAGCTTTTAAACATATATTTACCACGGCTGTCTCAATCACTGTATGCCCTATATATATATATATATATATATATATATATATATATATATACGTGTAAAACAACTGCTTTTAAACAGTTCTTGCTTTTTGTAGAGTTCCTAGAATATAAGAATAATAACATAGTAGTTTTGTCGTTGCCGGAACACAACAGTTCTAACTTTGCTCACATCTACTTGCTATTAATTGTTGACCATTTACAGAAAAAAAGGCACAGTGGTAGCGAAGCTGTGGATAGCTCCGCAAATCGACGTGATGACCGCGTCTCGTCATCGGAAGACAGCAAATCGATCTACGTTGCCGATACTCCGCCGTCAAGTTCGTGGTCACCGAAGTCGTCCTCGTACGCTGACCATGTTCGGTCCCTTCTTCCTGTCTCGCCCATTTCACCAATTTACTCGTCCCTTGAGCATCTGCTTCCCGAGCTGCTCAAACGTGACCAGCTGCTTAGGCAACAATCACAGTCGACGTCGAGTCTCGAGTCGGTCACGTCAACCCCGCAGGACTCACCACTCGACCTGTCTGTTCGTCGTACACCATCACCCGCTGCAGGCGCCACCGACGAATCTGCCCTGTTGCGCAGTTCAACGACGCCGCCAGCGCCCTTCGACTTTCCTCGGGTGCCGATGCAGTTCCGGTTCGACCTCGGCCTTCTTGGTCTTGCCTCACCAGCCGGCTCACCACTGCTGACGCCACCGTTTTACCCGACGCCAACAACGGCAACAACGACGAAAACGAAAACTACGTCGACGAAATCGTCACCGAAATCGTCATCGTCAAGTAACACCGCCACCCCATCGGTGCCTGCCTTGTCGTCCACCAAATTCGAATCTTCTGCCAAGAATTCGGCCAGCGGTAGTGTTTCCACCCGGAAGAGCTCATCGACGCCATCGCCCGTCAAGCGGCGTCAATCTCCCACTCAGTCATCACCTTTGCAGTCATCGTCGGCTGAAGCAAGCAGCAGTCCCGAAGAGGCCAGTAGTCAAGGCAGCAGTCCCGGTTACGTCTGCTCGATTTGTGGTCAAACGTTCTCGCTTCACGACCGACTCGCTAAACACATTGCGTCGCGACACCGAAACAAGCAGGCGGCGTCGCCTGATCCCGGCTCGGGTGGCTCTTTGGGCTCGTCATCTGGCGGAACGGGCAACGGGCGTAGCTATTCGTGCGATATCTGCCAGCGGTCGTTCGCTCGGAGCGACATGTTGACGCGCCACATGCGGTTGCATACCGGCGTCAAGCCGTACACGTGCAAAGTGTGCGGCCAGGTGTTCTCGCGCAGCGACCATCTGTCCACGCACCAACGCACGCATACCGGCGAGAAGCCATACAAGTGCCCGCAGTGTCCCTATGCCGCCTGTCGACGGGACATGATCACACGGCATATGCGAACGCACGCCCGTTACGCGCTTCCACCGACGCTGCCCGACTCGAGTTCGTCGTCTCTTGAGGAGGAGCCACTGGCCATCCTGCCAGGGTCGCCGCTGCAAACGTAAAATGCCCTGGCAAGATAGCTAGCCCGAGAAACACACAGTGCTTAAGAGATTTATTTTATGACGACGACGACGACGACAATGCTAAACTGCATCTTCGTTGGAGCGCCTCATGCCACTTGGCATCTGGCGTCGACGCGCGAAGTCGTTAATTAACGGTAGTGACAGTTATTCATGTAGGATGTTAATAAAGGAAAAGATACAGGCCGCTGGCGATTTGTAGCCGATTGAAGAGCCACCGTGGCTCAACAGTAACAATACGCTTCGGTTGTCTGTGTGTGAATTGTACTTACTTAGTAGTGCAAGTGTAGGGGGATCTCGATCGCTATTGTTGCCAGTCTGTGGCCTAATAACTCTTGATGGTCTCGTTGCATCACGTTTCGTGGTCGAATGGTGCCGTGTCCAAGACAGCAACCAAAGTAAACTCAATTCTCGTCTTTCAGCCCCCGTCAAACATCTCGCGTAGATTACTCGCGTGACGGCTCCCACCGTCATTTGGCAGGGGCCACCTTAGCTAGCTGATGTTAGTAATGCGTTATTTGTCTTCACACTACCACAAAAGACTGCAACTACGCAAAGCATAGTCCATAGTATATATAGAACGAGGCTTGAGTGCCGAGAGAAAAGGGGAAAGAAATCCTCAGAGAATGAGAGCCTACGGTGAAAATAAATCTACATATATATTATTAATACATATAAGTAAATACGTAGCTATATATATATATAAAAAAAAAAATAAATAAAATGCAAGAACGAACGAGATACAAGCAGCTTTAGAGAAACTATGATCTACCGATATGAAGTTGAAAGGATCATGTGAAGAACATCGCGAGTCCAGTACCACGTATTGTTTCTTTAGCTATGTATCGATAGGTTTGCTCGGAACTTTGCAAAAAAACCAGTTAGTTCTATCCCACCGGTGAAACAACGGAGGCGAACATTTGCAACAAGAAAGAACACGAAATAGATCTAAAAAAAAAAAAAGTACACCTAAAAAACACTACAGAAAAAATTAGCAATATATTTATAGCAAGATATATTCGTGAAGCTCGCCAATGCAGCACGGGCGAGTTCTTCGCTATTTGGTGCCTTTGTTGTTGCCGCTTATGGTCCGCTCATTGAGTTTGATTGTAACGTAGACATGTGGCCATATGCATGGATCGATTAACTGATTTATGGGAAGATGCATCATCCATATCAGTACCGAACTACGATTGAATACTCAACAAGATGGGCTTCCCCAAAAGCCCTTATCGTTATTGCGACGATAATCATAATAACAACCAATGCTCAATACTTGAAAACGATGAGAAAGAACCCTCACTATAATATTAACAGGAACAAGAGTAGATTGAAGACTACTATTAAGATAATAACTCGAACCTTTAGAATGATAATAATAGTAGTAAAGTAAGAATGTTCATATGATAGATGACGAGTGAGTGATGCGATAGTGGAGCGTCGATCAACCCATTGATTGCAAGGGTACAGTTGATCGAGTTCCGACGATCTCGGAAGCGCCGATCTCGACAGCGGACCGTTTTCAAGCAGCTCATCACCTTCACAGACAAGGGACCAGCCTACATACATATACATATATATATACATACATACATACATACATACATAAACAAAACAAATATTACTACCACCTCTAGACGATCACCAATCAATCAACCCAGTTATTTATTTAGCTGTCATCTATTTATTCAACCCCGAATCGGAGGTCTTTTTGTTGCCAACTCGAGTGCGATACGTAAGAAACTCCCGCAAAGCTGAGCACAAGCTTCCGTCACACATTACATACGTCAGATCGAAGCTTAGTTAGAACGTTTGAGTATCGATTTTTCTAAGCGACTACCTTCTTTTATATAAATATATTTTTTTTTCAGCTACGTTAAGAAATCCACGTTCTTTCCTCTTGATGCTTTGTCGGTGCCCCGTACGTTCTATATATTCCGACCATGGACAGACAAAGAGAACAGAATGAACATAGGCGAAAGTGGCCTGCGAAAAAAACTTAAACATCACAGAACACTGCTCTATTTGTATATGTTTGCGCGCGTAGGTGTGCGTACGTGCGTGTGCTTGTGTGTGCTTGTGTGTGTGTAGAAGGTGCGTGTGGATGGCAGATGTGTCGAGCTTGAGAAACTGTTGACAACAAATTGTCGTCAATGGATCGAAGTCAATTCCTCCGGCACCGGCCGCTAACCGAGTTGTAATAATGTCAACTGTAAATACTAAGTCAGGCATAGTAGAGACAAAAATGAAAGAGCTAATAAATAATAGAATGAACAGAAAAAAAAACACTATATTGTAAATAATAAAGATATTCTTATAATCTGATCTAAATGTGATTTTCTTTGTAATTTCGTTACACGTAATAGGTAATTTGGTATCTAAGGCCACCTTGTCAGCCGGTGCTGGCTTGCTCTAGATGAGGTCTGATTAGTCTAGACTGCTTATATGTACTCACATGAAGGTGAGGTCCAATTCTGTGTTGATTTGTAGCACAATGGGCTAAAAAAAATGTCTTATCTATTCGTATAAATCGCCTAGTCCAGTTTTCATTTTTCTTCCGTTGCCTATTGTCACTCAGTGTTAGATCATCTCACAGGTAAGTAAAATGTTGGATGAGGTCGACACCTATACTCGGGCAAATGGGCCAAGGAATTGCCGTCCTGGACGTCTGCATTGATACGTATGTGTATATATGTATACTTGTTGTTTATGTTGTCCATTCTGTTCTGCGAACCCCGCGGGCCTATGCACGACTCAGGTTGCATTCGTTTCGACGTTGAAGCTAGTGAACATGTTTATACTAGCCTGCAGCAAGTGTTCCTACGTCCAGTAGCGATTACCGAAGTCTACGTGCGTGTATAAACCGAGCTCGTCGATTTCAATCAGGCTTCTGCGCTTTTGGTGGCAATGGTCGTCAAGCTCCTGTTGAGCTTTGATGATACGATTGAGCAGACCTAAAATTAAATTGCTTCGCAGCAAATTCTGTCTCCAATTGGCGTAGAAGTAGCTACCGACTTGAGTTAGCTGGTGGTGACGGAGATGCTTACGAACGCTGAGCAGAAAGACCACGTTGATGATGCTGGTCATGATTAACGGACCAAGCAGGCAGCCAACTGAATAGCTTTTAAGTAACTTCAAACTTTTTGATGTGTGGCCTGATCTAGGCACAAGGTCCGGCTGTGGTCACTTGTGTAATTAACTTCTTTCTGATGCTCTTAAACGGTTGCACATTCGTCTCGTTTAGGTGTGCCATCTCATCTTATTAGATACCCTACTCAGACCATTCTACGGTATTCAAGGCTCACCATAGAAATGTCGTTTCAAATAATCTATCTTTGTTTCTCGCCCTCTTTGACGATTGTATTCGGTCCACCCGCATCTCATCTGATCTGGTCTTTAGCGCGACTCTGCAGTCGTTTGTTGAATATCACCGCTGTTGACGTCGTCACACTCACCTTCGTTGCCGTTATTCAAAATAGACTCCTGTGTCGTCAACTGGCTCCTCCGCCAGCCATTGGCCGCGGCGTCTCAGGGTCGGGGGCGAAGGTCCGGATTCCATGACCCCACTCAACGCAGGTCGCGGCGTTTGAGTTCCGAACACGTCGCACATCGTATTGAGCTTTCAGATGTTTCAGTTGGTAGCAGGCGGGGGTCAATGTGTACGGACGAACCTCTATAGGTAGCCATCTATTTAAAGACCTACGATTCGGCTAACTATTGCTCAAATCAGTTCTATCTGCGTGCGAGTCTCAAAAGTTATTTAACTCTGCTGAACGGATTGAAACCGCAAGCAATTCTTTGCACAGATTATGTAGACGCGCTAGCTATCCTTTCAAAGGTAGCGGCGGATAAGTTGGATCTACTTATCGTCAGTCCTCAGAAAAAAAAAAAGTTAAATCAAGAAAACGTTCATGGATAAAATGCAAGAAACAAGACGCGTATAGTAGTCATTCTCTAGTTTAAACGACGGCCACTCGTTAGCATCTGAGTTTTTGTTCTACAATTAGAAGATCTTCTAAGGCTAACTTCAGAACTTCAATTCGAAATTGGATTAGGATACACCTGTGAGATGATGTAGGTGTATCTATTTTTATGGTTACATATCGATCAGAACAGTCAGCCTTTATAATGGAACTTCCTAGTTAACAGGAGCAAACGAGAGAATCGTATACGGACGAGCTCGCCCCAATCATTCTGCTTCAACTATTGCTAGACGATCTGTCGTTTATTACTCTCTGTTGTCATTGCTACTGCTGCAGCCGTCGCCATTGCCACTTTAATTTGGAACGGCGCTGAGCAGATCGTGCGACCTGGAGCGCCCGTGTCGCTAAGATTCTCCTTGTATTCGAAAACAGAAGCCTGCCCTGGGGGTAAAAACCTCGACCGAAGTTATCATTATTATTATGCCTATCTTAGCCAACCTCGTATGCAGATGCGCGGCCACGTGCGCGATATTTATACATGACATTATAACACGTGCACATACACGCATATTAGAAACATATATGGACATACAGCTCAGGAGACGGGCGACATGGGAGACACCCTGCGGTGAAAGAGTTAGCAGCAGATGATATCCTCGTGAGGAGGACACGGCCGTCCTTGCTGAAGACATAAATAACATTCCATTTCTTATGGTTCAGTGGTCCCAGACGAACAGGTCGATCACGCATGTACCCACAACTTCATGTCGCTTGTTTGCTTCCACCCAGTAGCTGTGTGAACGTCTGAGGGACTTGACTTAAAGTGCTCTACCGTTAGGACGCGCAGTATTGGCCAGTGCGAAGCGCTTCGTCTGCAGCGAAGGTACATTTCACACCTGAGTGAAAATGTAAATTTGGCTTATGGTGGCTAAAGCACACCGTTACTACTGTTGCCGGTTTTGCTGTCAACGCTAGGCGATATCTGTTGTGGCTATCGCCGTTCGAGCCGCGTGCAGCTACCGATTCGTTCTCACCCTTAGAGGATGACTTTGGATTTCGGCCGCGAAGCTAGTAGTGAAGTCACTGAAAATTGAATTGAATCGGTGGCGCGTATTATCGCCGGCAAAGATCGTAGATCGACGCCGATATATCTAGGTACGGTGTTCCGCAACTGGCAACGATGTTAAGTGAATTGGCTAAGCATTGAATCGTCTCGTACACAACCTGTCGTGCCAGACTCAGTGATCTGTGAAGTAGCATGAAGTAGTTTTATCAATTTTTATAGCAAGCGAAAATATTCAAGGTCTGTTAGGTTTGTATGGTCGAGGAAGACACCAACAAATAATTGAACTATATATGTCGAACATTTCTACAGAATACCTAAAAATGTTGTTTTGTATTTTTCAGATGAGAATTTTTTCTATTTGTCATTATCAGGGCATATTTGGAAATTGACTGAAACCAGATGGCTATCAGATTCAGTAGAAGCATTAAGGCTGTAACGTGATCCTGCTGTTGTAAGGACGAACAGAGCAACAAAGCTAAGGCTTAGCCAAAAACAAAGCTGCCGTTATAATTTTAAAAAAGGTATCTGTATTGTGCCACACAACAATACATCACGTTGGCGAGCAGAGCTCAGAGGTATTAAGAATCGGCTTATTATAGTCCTTGCGCGTTCTGACGTATTACAGGATTAGGCTGACAAGATCCTTGACGCGCGTCTCCGACGTATTGGTATAGCAAGACACCCATGGCCTCTAATATGTTCGACCTTTCCATCACCATTATTACCATTGCGATGATTATCGGAAATGTGGCTACAGGTTGTGACTGGCGGTCCGCCAACCGTTCTCCATCAGCAGTCAACAGCGAAGCATCTCAAACATTTCAATTCTCACATGGCGTGCCTATTTGTACGTCTATGTTCCTTACGAAGTATGCACCAGCAACCTGTTATTGCCTTTGGATTCATCGACCAAATAATTCAGCTCTTTAAACATTCTCAGTGAGTGTTTCGGCGCCAAAAACGATGATAACAGCGTACAGCGACCGTTGCTGCTGAAATCTGTGGCCGGTCTACAAAGTGAGGGTGACATTCTGCGCTTGCCATTACACCGGTGGCTGCTGATTCGAAATTGGTAGCCATCAGAGGGGGCAGGGCATAGTCGTCCGCGCAAGAACGTTTCTGGCCGTTTCTCCGACCGAAGGAAGAACCGCCCAGCGCGACATGATGCATACGTACTACCTATCGCGACTGCCAACAATAACAAGAACGACAACGTCAAGAACTACATACATTTTGTACATAGTTCATTCGGGCAGACAGAAGTGCAGAAAGCAGTAAACTAGTGACTGCTAGTGGGTAGCTCCCGAAGTAGCAGTACCGACCGGCAAATTGCGACTATTCGGTCAACGGCCAGGCAGGCGGGTTCGATCGGGAGCTGCCCACAGGTCACGATCGGCGATTTCAGGAGATTGGCTGCAACGCATAGTTGCTGGCCAACGCTAGCGCTGCTGCCGAGGCGGTGATGACGATATCTGTGGTGTGTGCGCGGCAGCCATGCCTGCGCTCAGTGTATAGCATAGCTTGCCATGGCAGCAACACTGGCTATCCTTATACAACACAATAGTTTAACAGCATCATGCTATTATGTAATAGTTCCAAGACTAGCTAGTCTTCTGGGATAATCGCGACCGACCTTCACTGACCCCTCAAGTAGCCGTTAGCTGCTTCTTCCGCGAAGGGGTACATTTCATCTATCTTAAGAGCTTCCTTCGTATTTGAGATAGGTAGCGACGTTCGTAGGAACGTTACGAGCGGACGCAGGATATTGCATTCGATTAGCTACGCACGTAGTGGCAGATTTGCAAAGCGCACTACTCTAACAGAAACGGGCTGTTCATCAAGAGAGAGTTATTTACCTGACGATCTGTTCAAGTAACTTAATCAAACAGCTGAAATATGTCGGCTATTTCAAGTAGCGGAAGTGGTGGTGAAGGGCACGACTTCTACTCAAAGTTACTTTAGTATTCATACTAAAATCAAGTTGAACTCTTGTCCATAGACCTGTAGGCCGGCCGATCGTTCTCAGCCACCCGTATGGTCGACTTTTGCCTTTGCTATATAAAACAATATTAGAGACAGCTGGCCTTAGAGTCTACAGCTTTCCAGGCGCGTGCTGAGTGCTTTAGTAAGCTAGCGTAGGCCACAGCCTAATTGATCCGTGACTGTTTATTTAATTCAAGCCTAATGTATTAATAATAATATAATAAACGAGAGTCGCACACACTGCGGATTTTACTCAGATCGAGGTTATTTGGTTGTGAAAAATCAAATGTATAAGGTTTACGGCGTGAACTAAAATATTAAACTGAAT